GCTTCTTCCCACAGCGTGGTGCATTCCGGCCCCTCCGCCCCTCCTCCTCCTCTCAGTGGGCAGCAGCGTGCCACTCAGAATCGGCTCCCGTGCTGTAGTTGCTGACCCCTGGACTAGGGAAAGAAATGCTGTGGTCTGGAAACTTTAGGAGGAAGATGGGAAGAAAACCAGTGAAGAGGAAGGGTGATAATTAGGCATTCCTTGCTGCTCAAGTGACAAGTAGATCAACTCAATTTTTTCTGCTGTCTAAACCCTCCTGGATTCCCTAGTAACAAGACATCCCCCTACCCCCGAATCCCCTCTGATGGGCCAATCCTTATGGCCATTTTGTCTACCCCAATTTGTCACTGAGGCATGGGAGGATTAAGCTCTCTCAACCTGACTTCTGCAGCTGCCCAGCCCTTTTGGTACCCATACTACTGATAATATTAAAAAAGGTTTCCCTATTTTGTATTGCAAAAATCTGGTCGACCTAACTCCAAAAGAGACAGAATATAATGCAGAAATTGATTTGCAATGGATTGTTCTTTCAGATTGTAAACATTCACTCATGGTTACAATTTGGCATTCCAGTGAAGGTCTGAGTCTGTTATTGTGCAACATTTTAATCAAGTTACTGTTTAATAACAAGTTATTGTTTAGATACCTTTTGAATTCTGGGAATGTATAAAAGCAGAAGTTAGTAAGATTGTTTCTGCTGGTGCCCATTTGGTCTGACTGAGTGGCTAATCAATGTTTAGAGCCTTGCAGGTTTGTTTCCATTAAGAGGAGAAATTGATTATAGGAGTCAGGTATATTCCTTGATACAATCCTGTTTATTTACAAAGAATGTACAGTCCTGCTTCCCTGTACACAGAGGAGACAAACAACTGCAGGCAGTTTCCTTGCTCAGAAATCCTCAAACCTGCCTTTCCAGTGCATTCCGTGCCCAAGGAACTCTGTCTCTCTGCTCCCTTCAGGACCACATTCACAACTGCTTTTTTTCCTCTCTGTTGGTTTTCTTTTTGGTTCCTATTGTTTTTTTCCTGGCTTCTTGCCTCTTTTACACACACAGCTTGCCAAACAATTCCTTACTCCCTGTGTCTGCGATCAGGGAACCTCTGAGCCCACACATCTTGGCCTCTGATGAGGCCTTGCCACATGATCCATTGCCTTGGGCAGTATCTTCTATTGTTTCCAACTATCTCACTACATTAAGGGGATTAATTGCGCCTTCTATTTAGCCTGAAACAAAAGTGCACACCCACAAGTTTTAACCAGTTTTGTGACCTCTAGAGAACAAAGGCCTGCTTGATGGCAGCCATTAACATCTTACAACATAACACTGTCAGCTTGTCTTGTGCTGCTGTAGTTCTTTAGTGAAGACTCTACCACACCAATGGGAGACCTTCTGCTGTTAGCGTAGTTAATCCACCTCCCCGAAAGGTGGTAGCTATGTCCGCAGGAAAGCTCTCTGTCTGACATAGAGCTATCTACACAGTGGTTAAGGTCAATATAAGTATGTTGCTCAGGGGTATGGATTTTTCACACCCCTGAGTGAAATAGTTATACCGATATAGGCCTGTAGTGTAGACCTGGTCTGTGTTTAAAAAAAATCTTGTAGGTACAGAAGCTTGTGAATTCTCAATTCTCTACCAAAAATAAACACTTCTCAGCAAAGATTTCATAACAAAAAGCTTTAATTCGTTAAATGTGCTTGTTTTCTCACTTACTAATTCACTAAGGGAACAATTTATAATTGCTCTCCCAAAATCAAGTTAGCATGATTTTACTGGAATTTGTTTATGAAGCAAAGTGTTTTTTTAGCTTTGAAAATGTCCTAATTTTATAAAGCACATAATTGTGAAATATAGAATCATAGAAATGTAGGGCTTGAAGGGACCTCAAGAGATTATCTAGTCCAGCCCCCTGCACTGAGGCAAGACCACATATATCCAGCCATCCCTGACATAAGTTTGTTTAGCCTATTTTTAAAAATCTCCAGTGACAGGGATTCCACAACCTCCCTCAACCTGATACTGTAGCAGCTACTCTTATGTAGAACTGGGTGAATTCTTTTTGGCAAATAGTAAATTCACTAAAAATATCTTTATTGGGGAAACAAAACTATTTGCAAATTTGGGTAGAATTCAG